CTAGTTTTGGCTTTGAAATAAATTTTCTCTACTTTTTCATAAGGCATGAAGTAAGGGAAATCCGTACACCAGGTTGCTAGCGATTTTTATTTGGACACGAAGCAACGACTCGAAGCACAAGAACGGGGCGCATCATTCACATCACATCAAATGGCGCCATCAAAATGACGGCAGGGCGGTTCGCCGCTCGAAATTATGTAAGAAATATTATTGTACGGCTTCTACAACATAGCGGATCGGGTTCAAGAGCGAAATGAAAGTATCTCAGTGCGTCGAATCTTGGTCCTCTTTAAATAAACCCCATACCAGGGAAAAATCGTGGCCTATGTAGCCGACGCAAAAAGGCGGCGAGCCAAGAACACATGCACGATTTACATTTTTCTCTTTCCTTAGACTCCTTCCCTACTCGTGTACAAAGGCACTCTATAGTAGAAAGCCAGCTAGTCTGCGATATAAGAAACATGTAAGAAGAGTGTAGGTAATAAAAAAAACGAAAGCAGCAAAGGTAAGTAAAGCGACGGAAAGCAGGAAACCAAGAAAGGTGGAGAGATGCAGGGTGGATGAGGTGAGTAGGTAGGTGAGATGAGATGCTGAGATGAGATGAAGTGTATGTAACGCCGTCCGAGTCCCGATTAATTATTGTACAGTTCCGCCACCCAGTGGTAGCGGTTTCTTTCCTTCCTTCTTCAAGAACGGCGTCTCCCACGCGTCCGCGACAGCGCGATGTTCCGCAGGGCACCAACTAGGCACACGCGACGCTCCCCGAGCGCGCTGCGTCCCCGCCGGAGCCGATGTCCAACAACGGCACAGTCTACTCAAGCCCACTTCCCCAACAAGGCCATAACCGCACACCCCAGCAACATCGTCCCAATGGCGTACGCGAGCCGCCCGTTCGAGCTGTTCATCATCTCTTTGTTGAAGAGGAACTCGTGCGCGAGGAGCTGGGGGTGCGTGCAATTAGTATGTGTTTTCGTTTATCACCAGGAGGGAGAAGAAAAAAGAGGGAGAGAGAACTCACCTCGACCAACCCCGTATAGATCAATATCCCCGCACTGAGCGAGTCGAGCACGCCGCTCACCAGACTCGCAGTCGCGCTGCCCGGATTATAGGAGCTGCGGAGTCCGAGGCCGATGGCGATGCCGAGGGGCGTGCTGAGCCCGTAGATGAGCGCGGCGATGACGGGGACGTGGCGGTAGCGCGGCGTGGGCGGGAGGCGGATGAACGCGAGGCGCGAGCCGAGGCCGAGGCCTTCGAATGTTTCTGTGGGGTGTGTGTGTTAGTATCGGGCCTCTGAGGAAAGCAAGGGAGAGAGCGCACGATGAAAGACGATAACGACGAACAGAATCTTGAAACCTTCGTCTACCGCGAGCGTAAGCCCGATGAGCACACTGGTGAAAGGAACCCAGTGTCAGTAAATCATTTCGAGGCTCGCATGAGAGATGCACAGGCGGAAGTCGCACACGGGGAGTTGGTCGCACACAGGGCAGGGGAGAGCGGACATGCCGACACAGCAAGTCCACACATGCAGTCCGCCAGTAGTCACCAATGGCGCCCTCTCCCCTCTCCCCTCGGGGTGCAGAACGCGCAGCGCAATCGCGAACGACATACAGGCGTCCTCCCCCCCTCCCACCCAAATAAAAACAAACGGAAGAACCCCCTACCCACCTATGCAACAACACCCCAAACTCCAATATCGCGATCCCCACAATCTGCGCCGCTGCCGAGTCGTCCAAGTGTCCCATCCCCGCCCCCGCCCCCGCCCCCGCTCCCGCGCCGGCCCCCGATTCCAAGTCGCCATGGTGGTCGTGGTCGTGGGCATGTGCGTGCGGAAGGGGCTGGTGCGAGTGGCCATGGCCCGCGTCGTGCCCGAGCCCATGCGCATGGGGCGGCTGGTGCGAGTGGCCCGCGTGCGAGTGGGAGTGGCCGGCGTCGTGCGAGTGGTGCTGGTGCGAGTGGTCGTCGTGGCCGTCGCCGTGTCCCTCATGCTCGCGCTCGCGCTCGTGGTTGTGCTGTCCGTCTTCGGATGAGAACGCCGACGACTCGGCGGTCTGCTTTGTCGGCAGGGTCGGCAGCGCAGGCGACGACACTCCGTGGGCGGGCGGCGTCCGCGCGCCGCCCTCGGGTCCGTGCGCGGCGTGCGAGCCGGTGTAGTGGCCGTGGGGGTCTGTGGAGGAGCGGAGTTAGCAAGGTGACGGAGATGAAATGAGCAGCGCAGGAAAAGAAAGAAGCGAAAATGACAGATGGCAGGCGGGCCCTGCACCAGATACACCCTGGGAGACTGTTCCCGCACCCACCGCGCCAGCACACCGTCTTGCTGACGAAATGAAAGCGCCTCCGCCTTTCCTCTAACGTTGCACCGCGCGGTTAAATCCCACTGCCTTAGCGCCCGCACCCACGCACGCCTCGCGAACGAAGATCGTGCTCGACAAGCGAGCTGGATAGGGCGATGTGGTCCACCTTCCGCCACCACCCACCAGTGCGCGCCGCAAGAGAAAGAAAGCAAGAAGAAGAAGAAAGGCAAGAACTCGGCGCGCGCCAAAATAAAAATCTTCCGTCAGTAGGCTCAGCGTGCACCCCGCGCAGAAGAGCAAGAGCAAGTCCACTTCGCGCGTCTGAAGGGACCAGCGGGAGAAATCGGCGTAAAAAAAAAATGAAGGAGGCAAAAGCCCCCGGCCACCATTCCGGCGCCGGCGCCAGCGCGCCTTCGCAAATGGAAGAGACTGCGCCCCGCCAGCGCAACGCCTTGCTGACGCTGAAGAAACGAAAGCGCCTCCTCCTTTCCTTTCCTTTCCTTCCTTCCTCCTGAGCGCTGCAGGCACCCCGCGGGGGGCACGTCTCCGCCTGGTTCCTGTCTCCCGCACCCACACACGCCGTCGCGAACGAAGGTCGTGCTCGAAAAGCGAACTGGATGGGGCGATGTGCCATCACCGCCCACCAGTGCGCTCTGGAAGAACGCCGCAAAAGAAAGAAAGAAGAGATTGAGGAAGGCGGCCCCGCCCCCGTGCCGCCGGAGACCGTGTTCCCACTCCCGCACCCGCACCCGTGCCCGCCGCGTGACGAAATGCAAGCACCTGCGACGTCCGTATGCACACAACCTCCCTCGGTGCGCGCCGCACGCCGACGGCGGACGAAAAGAAAGAGGATCGCGCTGGACGCCCACCACTGTGCGCCCCGCAAAATAAATAAGCTCAAGAACGAGCCATAACCCGTCTCTCGATAAAAAAGGAACAGCGGTCGACGATTCGACCCAGTGTACTGCGCGCACGAAAGATGGATGAGGAGGTGGAACAAGGTGTCCCCCAAAACAGGAGGACGCGAAAGGAACTGCCGGCCATTCCTGCGCGTCAGCATTCGTGGGGGCGGCGCCCGGGACGAAGCACGGCCTCCTCGTCCACCCAAAAGGAGCAGCGAGAAGGAAAGAAGAGACCTCGTCGGGAGGCAACGACCCCGTCCGTCTGCGACGCGCAGGACAAATCCACACACAAAGACGCCCCCCAGAAGATAAAATAATCCAAAATAAAAGTGATAAAAGTGATAAAATAGAAATAAACACGAGCTTACCATGCCGCATCCCAATCTTCTGCAGCCTCGCGGTGCCCCAGCGGAAGGCGACGAGCTCGAGGATGAAGATGGAGAATATGCTGAGGAGGCAGAGGGCGAGGGCGTAGGGCTGTGTGGTACATATACATCGTTAGTGGCGATAAGGTGCGATCGGAAGGAGAGAGACCCACGTATTCGGACCATCCGGGGGCTAAGCAAGGCGAGGAAAGCTCTTGGAGGCCGGGGAAGAGCAGGTGGATGAAGGCCGTGGCGATCTGCGCGAGTCAGGAATTTGTGAGGATCTGACTGGGAGAACAAACTGAGTACTTACGATGACGCCCGATCCGAAGTACTTTGCGAAGCTAGCAATGTCGATCAGCATTACGAATTGCGCTCCAGAAAAAAAGGGATATAGAGGAATGGGAATGGGAAGTGCGGAAGAAAAGAAAAGTGAACGCACTCAAACACGCCCTTGGGCACATGCAGCCACTTGCTTCTCCGCGCAAGGACGGGGAAGAGCGTCCCGCTTGTGGCGCACACGAGCACGATGAAGACAGAGGCGACGCGGAGGTGCATATATGTGTCTGGGTTGCGCGGAGCGGTGCATTCGGCCGTTGGGTCGAAGGATGGATCCGATGACGATGAGGACATTGTTTTTTGCCGAGACCGAGGTTATTTATTTATTTGATTTGAGGCACCAGAGGGAACAAGACACCAGAAAGATGGGGGGGATGGTATGTGGGTGGATGAGGAAAGGGCGCAGGAGGAGGGGAGGTAACGGGGTGGTTGGTGGGCGGAGCACGTCTATATGTTTTTTTTGGCACACGCTGACTGCGACCGCGGAGGTCCTCATTTCTAAGGTTGACTTTCCGCATTTGGGTCGACCAATCACACGTCGCCGATTCGGCTGTCACGGCTGCGGCGTCCTCGATATCGATAGCCGTGGATGGCGCTAAAAACGCCGAGTTCATACGGGCCATTTTCTTCATCGAATCCACCAATACTCTGCGGTAAATCAATTGCCGACTATGCCAACCAAGGTGAAGTCTAGATCTGACGCCCATGACTATCTGTATGTCTGATTCGAATCGACATCGCCGACTCGGTGTTGAAGCGAAATATTAATGCAACTTTGAACTGGTTCACTCTGCTTCCGAAGACCGGGATGCCAAGGACTGCCGCCGTCTACCGGAGGGCCTTTATCTTGATTGATCAAAACATCAGAACCGGAGCGAGTTGAACAGGATCATGACAGCGGGCATGAGGACAACGGTTGTCAGACACTACAGCTGAATTCTGATGTCCTTGATTGTAAAAGGGAAGTGATTCAAGTACCTGAGGCTCCCCCAAGTGTTTCAAGGTCCGTTAGCAATCTGAAGTTGAAGTCGAATAAAAAATAAATAAAAATGATAGTACGTAGCTGCCCAGCTATAGAGCCTATCATTGCACATACTGCCATGTCTTGACTAGTATATCGGTTTAGTACAGCCGCTTGTCATCTTGGATTACGTCATTACTTCCGCGGCAGAGCTGGGTTCGACTCCCAGGTCGAGAGTTCTTTTTCGTTTTTTTTTTTTGCGCTATTTCATTATTGAGGCCCTCCGGGTATCCCTGGTACCTCTGCCCAGAGCCTGCAACATAAATTAGACCAGGAGAGTTATTTACTACTTTTTATTGTGGCTTGCAAGTCTCGCCGATGCAAGATTTAAAATTCTACATACTGCACAGCCGTTCTAGATGCCGACCAATCAGAGGGCGGAGAAACAGATTGATTATTTAATTAATTTCTTATATTTTTATATCTTTCCCGAATAGGAAGTGGTATGATCGAAGGCATCGGTCGGTGATGGTGATTCGTGTTGAGACCTGGATCAACGATTTACGAAACCCCTCTATCTTTTACAAAACAGCTGTATGAGCTAGAGTGGATTACACCTGGCGGCAAAGATCACCACACATGAAAGCTGTGTGTGTGATTAATGCATATTCATCACACATGGCTCACAGGTATTTCTGAAAGGTAAGTAGTGGGACAATTCACAGTTGTTCTTTACTGTATAAAGGAGGGACCTATTTGGGGAAGTCAGAGTGGTCGATTCTGGGTCGATTCATGTTTCGATTCTGAAGTGATTCTGTGTCGAGAATCGAAGCAGAATTGTCGTCAAGAATCGTTGCAGTATCAGCTCGGGAGCCGGTACTGCAATGATTCTCAAGTGATTCTGGTGACGAGAATCAGTGATGCCGGCTGATTTGGTGGTCAAGGTGAATGCAGAATCGAGCAGAATCGGGGCGGTCAGAGTTGATGCCCAATTCTCAGTCGATTCTTGCTCAGAATCGACACAAAATCTCTCGAAATCATCTACTCTGACTTCCCCTATTCTTTGTCCCAACTTTTATCTCGTAAAGAACCATTGTTGAACTGTGACTTGGACTGTGACCATTTGCAGTCCATGTGCGATGAATATGCATTGGCCACACATCGCTTTCATGTGCAGCAATCTTTGCCCCCGGTGGGGGAGTTTCCAGCATCTCAGAGATTTTTCTCTCTCTTGTACAAGAACTCACCGTGCAGTCAAAGTCGTGGGCAGAAAGTGCAAAACTGTGCTGGGACTGTGGCTGTATTTGGCTATGTTGCAGTCAGGCCAACCTAAGTCGCTGACATGGAGAAACAAGGCTCCACTTGAAGTGGAGTATATCTGAGAACAGTGGGAGTGGGATGCACGCCAATTAAGCAAGTCCCACTTTTGATTTGAATTCCAACAATTGGCATCAAGGGATTAATGTCGGCATTAGTGCTCTGTTCACTGCATTTTTTGTGTATGAGTGGCATGTCTCGTGCACTGCTGTTCTCCTCAGACTCCCCTCCTTTGGCCTGGTGGCACGTCCAAAGACTGAATTTAGGTATTTGTCGTCTTTTTTCAAAAGTCAGCTTTTTAAAAATTATTGAGGCATGGACAGCTACGGTTTTCCACCCCAGACCCTGCCCGCTATGCTGGGCTGCCGCTCACCACGGAGGGCCCACTGTGTGGTGCTTCCGCTTACCGCAGGGACCCATTGTATGGAACTCTCCGCAATTTTTAACATGCTTTAGTTGACTTTTGGCTGCCTATTCCGAGTGACCCCAGCACATTGATTTAGTGATGGCTGCAATGTGCAAGTACCACTCTCCGCATTCATTGGAGTGCGAGTCCCACAAGTGAGTCCTTAGCTGATGTTAAGCGAGGGTTAGCCGAGTCCCACCGTTCCCGTTGTTACTCCTTGAAGCGGTTGGTCACGTCAACTTGAGTAGTTCCTCTTGTTCACCTCTAACACTCAAGGAATCCAGTGATAAGTCAACACCTTCTAAGAAACCACTACCGAGACTACCCTGCTACGGCACTATGGGAGGCTATTGACACAACGTGCCTGACTATGGTGAACTAAAATAGCAATCCATAGCCGATCACTTCTGCTATTTGTTGCTACACAACAGGGGTCAAGCTACACTGCTATCCCAGCTATCCTAGGTATGTTGCGCTGCGTGGTCTACAGTCGCTAACCGGGAAGCGCAACATTTAGTTTGCGCCGCCTATATCTTGTCCATTCCTGGACCAAATTACGCGCGCCAAAGGGCTAGGTGACTCATAAGGTTATGAATTCCAACCTCCGATTTACTTCTCGGGGTTTGAGCACTTCACGGGCCCATACGGCATCGATCGTTCCGGGAGGCTAAATTTGGACAAATAACGTGGAAGCGCAACAAGTTATGGTCAATAGTTGAGGCGAATGCAGTCCATACTTTCAGCCAAGAAAATTCATGAGCATTATCACCAACCCCAAAAATATCTTTACGCACTCAGAGCTGTATATTTCTGGCTTCTAGCACTCGGGCACCATCACCGCAATTAGTGCTTGTCAGATGGTCAATTTTACATGGCTCGTTATGGAGCTATACTTGGGTTGTTGAGCTAGATATTTTTTATGCCATGTGGTACGATGCCCTACTATATCCTCGTGAGTTTGCAGCCCAGTAGCACCACCAGATGGCGTCAAAGGACTTGAAAAACCTTGAAATTTGACCATTTCCCCGGTATTTACTCAATAAAACTCATATTTCTGGGTCGTCGTAAATGTTCGACCCTCGGGATGTGTCCTATCGTGCTCAGCGACCTCGAAAACAGGGGTATACGGTCCGAGGACGGTCCAGCCGTCCTTCTAAGCTGTTTGTTTGGCGATGTTGCGCTACGTGGTGTTGTTGCGCTTCCCGGTTAACGACTGTAGCAGTTTTTTCCTGATGAAATATAGAACTGTAAGTCAAAGTTGAAGCTGGTTCATGATCAACTCAGGCTTTCACATCCATCCAGAACTAACTGTTGTAATTTGTAATGTGCAGCTCAGCCTTCGGGCATTAGATTAGTAACGGACAGTTCAAGTAGATGCAAGTGGAATGTTCTAGATACAATTCCTGTAGTATATAAGCTCACTGTAGTATCCTGCTAGAGCATCTGATTGCTCTAAAGCAGCCTTCTAACCAACAGTGCTATTGCAATCCTACTCCTCTTATTATAGTCTTGCCCTCCTCTGCTCCTAATCACAACACTAACAATATAATTGGCCCACCAATCAGTGAATCACTCCCCCAATCCCATATTTTACCTCCCCTACCAGTTGAAGACAGGGGTACCGTTCAACTTTCAACGTCCCGGCTGCCTGTTCTTTATTTCAGTTACTGGCATGTAAATATTTTGTGCGGTTTTATCATATTCCATAGCTCGCCTTCTCGCCTACCAAGCCCAAGTTTTTGCATCTTCTCAGTGATTTCACATCAATGTGTAATCATGCTGATTATGACATCTGTTTACTTACGAGATCGTTGCCACACACTGCCAGCTCACTCTTCCTTCTTCTGTACCACTACATTCCGCCTTTGTACCTTAGCTAAGGTATCCCCTATCCACCCTTGATGAATGTCACGTGTTCTTTCATTTTTTGGCGTGCGCTAGGAAATAATTAATATGTGAAGAACAAAGAATGATACAGGGAATCCCTTCGACCAAAAGTTGGATATATGTCCATTTGAGTTGTAGAAAAAAAGGTGGCTCACTCAGACCCTCCTGTAAAATGTAGTTACAGGTTGTAACCCGCAGCCTCCAGGCCCATCAATATTGATGGGAAATTGGTCGTTGAATCAAGCTGTAACTAGATATTCCTGCAAAAACTTCTTCTACAAGCACTGTTTGTAAAACATATAAAACACATATCTTGGATCTGGTCAGAGGGATTGGCTCAATTCACGCAGCATTGTCGCAATCAGACCCCAATCTAATCGCTCCAACACTGTTATCTATTATCTGAGCGCCTATCGACACATTGTGGGAAAGATTGGGAGAATGCCAGCTAGACACCAAGACAGGAATATTGATGTCATACATAACACATGGCGGACACATGGTACAAGAACATTCTGGAATTCTGGAATACATGCTGCTAAGGGCCTGATCGGGTGCGCTAGAATCCCTTTAGAATTTTTCTAGAATCTCGACTTCATCCAGACTTGGTCCCTAAACCATGTGGGAATCTTCCGGGCACCTATTCTATGATGATTTGAGCACCGAGAGTGGCGGCAAAAATATGGTTGAAAATTTCCCTGAGATTCTTAGATTGCTCAGGAGATTCTAAGCTCAACTCCGAAATGTGTTGAATATTTTCAACCCACAACCTTTTCGCCACCTCACTTCACTCAGATTTGGGGAACTGCATGGAATTTCCATTCTAGGACAGTTTAGGGACAAAAAATGTGAGAAATAAGGTGTTCATGGGATTCTGGTCAGATTCTCAAGAACAGATTCTCACGCACCCGATCAGGCCCTAAGGGATGGTTCACACACCGAATACACATGGAATTCATAATAGCATACAAGTTCACACGGTTCAATATTTAGTATAAGTAGAGTAGTTATTTGCCTGTAGTCTTTAGCCTTTTATTCAATTCATTTCTCAAAGTACTAGCACATCTCAGTCCCCAATCCACTATCTCTGTATAGTTGGACGAGATAAGGCTTTGTTTGTGACAAGCATATTCTTTTATACAGGTTTTCGCCAGCTGGTTTGTGATCAACTCAGGTTTTCACATCCATCCAGAACTAACAGCATAATTGGCCCATGAATCAGTGAATCACTCTCCCAATCCTATATTTGACTTCCCCCACCAGTTGAACACAGGGGTACATCTGGCATTGGGTAAATGCAGGGGTGTTGAGAAACAAGTGATTAATTAAAATGATGCCGCTAATCAATTTATCTGGAGTCTTATCTGGTAAATGAAGCCAATTAGACCATAATGTCTTATGGCTCTGGAAGATATAGACTCAGATGACTTCCAAGTGTCTACACCATTTACCAACATGCCCCGTCAACCGACCATAGCTGAAATTCGTTTGGATCATATCTCCACATGTTTAACTATCACTGGGAGTAGCCTGCAACTCCTTGTGGACACCTTCAACATCTCTGGCCTGGAGGCCATCTTGAATACCACACAGTCTCTCTTAAAATTAGCAGAGGTGCAACTCCCAA